ACACTTATTTTCATGATTGTTATGTTTAATTGCTAGGAGACCTACTAATTTGTTATTCGTTACAATCTACCGCTAAGTTAAATATCAAATTTGTAATTGTTTGATTCCTTTAACTTGTGAAGCACTATGATTTAATTATTTTTTGCGATAGAGGTTATTGAATCTTAAGAAAAATTGTATAAATAGATTGAATGCAACCGCTGGTGTTTGTGTTATCTAGTTCATCTATTTCTCTATTGTGTAGAGCTGTTATTAATTGAATCTTGAGCACATGTCTGGAGTTATTTAATAATTAGGGCTAATTAGAACGTTGGTTTCTAATTAACTAAAATTAAGGAGAAATATGAATCAATTCCAACGATGAATATTCGAAATATGAATTGAATTATCCTTACATCTGTGATCAATTGTGGATTTTCGACGATTGATGTGGATTTAGACCAACGTTAGTCTTTTGATTATTTTCATTAATTTGATTTTCATTGTTATTGATTACGTTATTTACAATTGTTTGCATACAAAAACCCCCAACCATTGTACGAATCATAAAACATAGAATTACACACTTTTCGTGGGATCGACCTTTACTTCCACTACTACATTCATTTTAGAGGTTAATGTATTTCTTTTGGGTGCCTACGACAGCACACACCAAAACCTAACGAGACTTGGATTCTTGATACAGCTTGCACTTTTCATATGTGTTCAAATTAGTATTTATTTTCAATATATAAAAAAGTTTCAAAAGGTATTGTGATGATGAGTAATAATACTCATTGTTAGATAGTTGAGTAATAATACTCATTGTTAGATAGTTGGTATTGGTCAAGTCAGAACAAAGATATTTGATGGGACGGTTAGAACATTTGATGCAATGAGACACATCCCAAATTTGAAGAGAAATCTTATCTCCTTTAAGTACTTTTATTAATACCCAGCTAGAGTTATGGAGAATATTTTTAGTTGGAAATTTTGGTGGAGAATTTTGTTTGTATTTTTTGTTGAAGAATTGAAGTTTATTCCTTACAATTGAATTTTGTCTCATGGTGGAGAATTTTTTAAGTTTGTCCATTGCAGTAGAATTCACGTTAGGGTGGAATTTATTAAAATTAGGGTGTGACCTAAATTCTATTTGACAAATTCTAGTTGAAGTTTTATTTGGAAGTCCAATTAAGAGTTGAAATTTGTATTGGTTTTGAAGAGATCAAGATATGGACTAGAGATAAATTTTTTACGTTTTTTGCTAGCCCACCACTCAAGCAACGCCGTTGTAATTATGTCCTGAGAGCTAGCTCTCACTCTGTCTAGCATTCGAGTGGCAGTGTTATCTGGCCCAGTCTTGTTTCACGTTTTGACACATACTGAGCATTCATTTCCACTTATAACTTTACTTTTAGGGCTTTGAACGTCCTCTATATATATCTAGTTCTTCATTATATTTTAAACAGAGTTGGACAAATCATATACACAAAATCTTTGTATTATTTCTCTGTATTGTAATAAAATCTTCATTCTCTACAAATTACATTATTCTTGTATTTTTGTGATCTTTATTTTATATTGTGTCTACAATCTTGTGTTTTTTTCTTCAACAAAGTGATATCAGAGCAATCCAATATTACCTTCAATTTCAACATGAAATATCAAATCTTGTTTGGGTTTTATAATTGAAAAGTAAACCTATAACAAATTAACTATCAAAATTTTTAACCAAGAGAGAAGCGTATATGAAACTCAATTAATTAGGAGCACTATGATTTTGAATCTCCCTATATTATTCCATTTTAATATTAATTCTAGTTGACAATACTTATTTAGATTTGACGATCTGTGATCCTATTACATTTAATAATATCTCTTCAGTAATATTGAATCTATTCCCACATTTAATCTCCTATATCTCTATGAAAAATGTGAACATATGAAAATGCATTAAACTACAAAAACATTCATTGGGATCATACAAAGCAGAACAATGTATATATATATCCCCTATATGACCTTACAATGATAGTTACTATGTCCTTTATAATTCATACTCTTTTTCTCGAATAAAATATAAATAAAAAATATAATCAATTATTGGCCAAGTACTTGAAAACCTGAAAAGCCTAACAATAATTCAAACCAATCAAAATATCAAAGACATGATATAGAAATTAACATTAAAATATCAAAATATAGCATTCATAATTATCCTTGTGTCTACATAATTAGTCGAGCATTATATTATTACACAAACACAAATTGCATTGATAATACATCCCCTCTTGAATTTTTGAATCTCTTCGATAGTTTTTGATTAATCTTCTTGAATCCTTTTCCCCTTCATATAATCCAAATGAATAGATTGAATTTGGTGTAAAATTATGTGTTTGTGTCTAAAAACCTTCTCTTTTTTGAACGAGAGATAATATCTATTTTAAATTTTTTATAGTCCCATACTTAGGTCAAAACTCGTGCCCAAAATTTTTTCTAGACAGAAGTTGATTTGGATTAGGAAATAAGACTTTTTCTTTTCCTATCTTGAAGAATCATTCGATCACGAGGCTAAAGTAGTTGCGATCGCATGGTAACCTTTTGAACTTGTTCGTGCAAAATTTTCTATGCACGCAATCTCATGGCATGACCTTGCGAACGCAAGGTGTCTTCCATTTTCTCCTTTTTCAAATTGGTCCCTAAATTTCTTCTTTTGTTCAGCTTGAGTCCCTTCTTATCTTCGTCATCATGGATTCTTCATCTTTTAATTTTTTACAATTTGATCCTCATCCTCCACAATCATTCGTAATTGATTTGTTTCAAATTCCAAAAGTTTACTTAAATGTACTCTCAAAAATTGTGAATCTCCTGTGATTACTCTCTTAATAATTTTTATCAACCACGTGCTAACCTGGTTAACCTCTTATTGCTTCATTTAATTGTAATTCCATTCTTCTTCTTCTTCTTTTATTTATTTATTTATTGCCTATTTAAATTATGAGGAGTAAATTTTTTTTTTTTTTTAATATCTCTTAATGGAATTTTTGAATGAAAACTTTCATCATAAATAACATGTACACATTAAAGGAAGGTAGAAGAATGCAATGAAAAAATTCGATGACATGAGTGTAACAATGAATAAAAGCTATAGACCTTTTCATACGATTAAAATCTGGTGCAATTATTAACATAAATTTTAGTGCAAGTATATTTACCCTTCAACAAATTGCAATGGGAAAAAAGAAGAAGACGAAAGAAATAGCCTAATTTGTATGTAATCATGAACACAGTGACATATATTCGATTTCCATACCTATGTCGGTGTTGGGCCCGTTAGCTGCTACTTTCAAGCCTCCTTCTAGGAAGAATTTATAAATGATTTTATCTAAAGATGAATAGAAATGAGTTATGAATAAGTGGATAACACTTATGGATCCATTAGTGTGTGTTGTCGAAAATGAAATTTAACAATTTACAAATTATTCATAAATTTTACCAAGTGGAGACTAAGTTTAAAAACAAATCGAATATATATTTAAGTAATTTTTTTTATTTCTCATATTTGGAAATAACTCTTATTCAATTGCTACGTGGCTTACTTATTTTTAGTTTTGATAAACAAAAAAAAAAATAAATTCACTTATAAGTAAACTTTTTAATCTCAACAAAACAGGCTCTTAATATTTTAAATTTCATTATAATTTTATTTTGATAGCAAAGTAAGCTTCTTTTCAAAATATAAGTAACTTGTTCTTAATATTAGTAAACTTAGCCAAACATGCCTCTATGTAATATTCTATGGTTCAAAATATTTGAATATGTTGAAGAAATGCAAGTACGCGTATAACGAAAAAAACTCATCAAAATCTAAGTGCTTGTAATACATGGTGTGATTGTTCATGACAAATTAATAATGATTTAGCAATATGTACTAAAGGTATTAAGGAAAAAATGTTTTAGTATTGTTCATTAAACATTGTTTAATATATGATATACGAAAAAGTAGTAAAATATATTTGATATTTAATACTAAATAAGAGTATACATAATTATAACAAATTTAAAGTTGTTGATATTGATCAACATTAATTTATACTTTGCATAAGTTGATGAAGAACATAGTTTAAGACCGCGTAGGAGTTTTAAGACCGCGTAGGAGTATTGACTTGGGCTTAGTCTACATTGACTAGTCATCTCTTCACTCAGTTAATCTTTTCCTTCCCCCTCAAAACCCTAAAGCCCCACACACTACCCACTATTTCTAACCAACTTCTTCCCACTTGGGCCACAAGTAAAATTCTCCAAAACTAAACGTGCTCCTCAATCCACATACTTCTACTGATAATTTTATTTTTATTTCAATCATGCAACATGTACATCATATTTGAGTTTTTTTTTTATAACAGTGGATGTTCGAGCCATCTTGTAAGCACCTTGACTAATTTCACGAGATCTTGAAATTTATGGCTGAGTACTCACCTCAGTGGCTCTAAGGGGACTCGAACTGGTGATCTTTGGGGAGCAAACACAAGGTTTAACCAATTGAGCAACTCCTCAAAATTTACATCATATTTGACATCATTCTTTATATTGTACCATGCGACAACACACCATTCGCCAGTTAAAAAAAAAAAAGCTATATACCCGTCCATTTCTTTTGAAAATACAACAGATGTCAAACAAGATGTAACCGTGAAATGTACGCGTAGCATTATTCTATTTATTTTCTTTTCTTTTTCTGTAAGTAATTGCCTTCCCTTCCCTTTCCTAACACTTGTGAAGCAACTTCCACCCCCTACCCCATCCCGTTTATATAAGCCTTACGATCCCTTTTCCCTTATTTTAAAACTCACTAAGAACAAATTCTTCCCTTGGCTCTCAAAAGCTATAGATCAATAACTTGAATTCTTCTATTGATCTCGTCTCTATCCGAGTGCAATCTTCACTCAGCTTATCCTCCATTCTCAGTATTTCTTGACAAGAAAAGTTTGGTTAAGTCCTTTCTATCTTTCTATTAATATATGGAACTTGAAGCATTGAATTCTCTGAATACTACATCGCCGCCATTTCATTTGGATAAAGCCGGCCTAAGCTCTTTTAGGCAGTGGCTGAACGGTAAGCGATCAAGGCGACCACATAGCGTGGAACAAAATGAACCAACTGAAGAAGAACATTTAGCTATTTGCCTTATGATGTTAGCTCGTGGAGGCAGCCCCGCCACAACAGCCGCACTGCTGCAGAAACAATCGCAATCAGAAACCCGTCTGCCCCCAGATTCTACGAAGGTTATGTATAAGTGTTCGGTATGTGGCAAAGCTTTCGGATCTTACCAAGCTTTGGGAGGGCACAAGACGATCCATCGAAAGAAAACTGGCAGTCGTGACAGAATTCAAGAAAACTCCACAATCTCTGCCTCCGCTACCACCACTACTTCTGCCATCACAAAGTGTTGCAGGACCCATAAGTGTTCCATCTGCCACAAGTGTTTCCCCACCGGCCAGGCTTTGGGAGGCCACAAAAGGCGCCACTATGAAGGAGGCGCCACTAGCAACGGCGGCGGAGCTGCCAGCAGCGCTATTACATCGTCAGAACGTGTACAGTCTACTGTTACTCACCGGGACTTTGACTTGAACTTGCCGGCGCTGCCACAATTCCGGCCGGACTTTGGCTCAGGCGAAGACGAAGTCGAGAGCCCTCATCCGGCAAAGAAATTTCGCCTTTAGAATTCTGAATACAGGAAATTGATCTTTTGAATTATTGTAATTTTTCTTCGAATATTTGTCGGTTGAAATTATTTTTTGGCCACTCACTGTGTCCCATTTCTTTGTAATTCTTTTGGCCCGTTTCTTTGTAAATTCTTTTAAAAATAAAAATTGGGATATCTCCTTTCACATACCATTATTTTTGGTCCAAGCGAATTTTTATTAGGAGTGAGCATTTTTTTGGGGATCGGACCGAAATCGGATAGAACTGTCCAGTTCAGCTTCGGTTCCTCTATTAAATGGATCGATTGTGGGACCATGTATCGAACACCGATCGGTTTCGGTCCAATTTTTGGTACTGACTTGAGCATCAGTAGTGAATTCGATTCTTCCGAATTTCTTTTTTTGCATACACCAAGATGCACTAGATCTTTGAACACTAAACCCAAAATTATATCACATTAAAATTCTATTTCCCAATGGCTTATTTTTCTTTCCTTTACTGGATAATCTAAATTTAAATCTAAATTTTTATAAATACTTTACAAATTCACAACTTTAATGTAACCCAATAGGAAAAATACATTTTTAGTTCAATATTTGATAAGGATTTAAATTTCTCGTTATTTTCAAAGTGGTCCGTCATCACGAATCAAGACCATTAAAGATAATCAGATTATTGTTATATGGAATTCTTAAAAATTACTTTTCGATCGAGATTTTACTGTTTATACTGTGTTTAATTAGTTATTCTTTTTCTCCCCTTTATGAATTGATCTTGAACTTTGGAATGAATTTTTATTTGTTGCCTTGTTTAATTAACTTTTTTATTGTTAGATTACAAAAATGACGAGTGATTTCATACTCTATTTTTATCTATTTTTCATTTTGACAAATAGCTTCATATTTTATTCTTATAATTTTTTCAATGTAAAGAACATGTCCGGACTGAATCGAAATCGATTGGTTCAATTATATAGTTGGATAGAAATCTAATGGTTCCATTTCTAAGATTTCCATTGATATTTGATTCGATTTCCTTTAGAATTGGACCGGACCGAACCAAACCTGCCCACTCCTAATTTCTATTATGGACACACCATTATGTAGTATAAAGAATTTTATTGCCTCCTTAAATTGAATTCTAATTGAGTTTATTTTTATATAATTTTGATCTAAAATTTCAAAGGTTCTATTTATGTATTTAGGATTTGATATATCTGTTCGAATATGTGGTTAAAGAATTATGATTTTATTTTATTAAAAATAAAAATTTCGAATGCTACTGAATAAATAATTGAATTTCATTTATTTTTATAAAAGGGAGTCGAATTATATTTTGAATATGTGTATAAACTGCATTGAATTAATGAGTGAAATATAAAATAAGATGATTAGTACGAAAGATACTGCTTTTATATGAGTAATGCTATTTATATATCATATTGTGTGGATTGATGACATGAAAGATAGAGAAATAGAAGGAAAGAGAATGAAGTCAATTAATATAATTGACCACTGTGAGTGAACCTTGAAAGTAGTGAAATTAATACGCTAGGTATATCCGGAAGTAATTGGACAAGCCATTTTTGTGTGAGAGTTTAATTCTAATGCATAATCGTAGTAATATACAATAATTCCTTTAGGAATCCTTCACCCTTTTCAATGGTCAATCATTATCGTTGTTGATCAGTAAAATTCCATCGTCTTATATTTCTGATTTGTCACCCTTTTAAACATTGTAATGGCATCCTCTTTATTATTCTTTCTTAAAAGTTTTTATTTTTGTACTTGCTTTGTTCTTCGTTCTAAAGTAGAGCGTAGCAAGTTGACTTCATGCTTTGCCATTTGTGTATTTTTAGGTAATGATGATGGATAAAAGGTAACTGTTGTTTTGATCCCATCAGTTAAAAATTGTATATCTTTCGTCCTATTGTGTTCCTCGAGCATCTGATAACATGACTAAGTCTAAACTCATTTGCATTTGATCCATTCTCTGATGGTACAAATATTCTACCCTTTTATACCCCATGTATTATATATATACTCCATACACTACAGGTACAAATGCACCGAATTATAATGTCTTTGATGTTCTCTCTCCGTCTATGACCTCCCAAGAACATCATGTGATTATAGGTCCTTCTCCTCCTCAAGATCCTCAGCGTTCTCGTAAGTCCACTAAGTTACCAAATTTTAGTTATTCTAGCTATTCAAATTCATTTAGTTTTTTTTTAAACCTTTATTCACAAAGTATCTAACCATTCTTCCTATAAAGAGATTGTTTTATCCTCTTTGGTAGCAGGTTGTAGCTGAGGAACTCTCCGCATTTCATAAGACTGATACTTGAAATTTGGTTCCATCACCACCTAGTAAACGTGTTATTGGTTTTCATTGGATCTATAAGATCAAAACTAAATCTGCTGACTCAGTTCAGCGATATAAAACCAGATTAGTTTCTAAGATCTTTACTCGACAATATGGTATGGATTATGAGAAAACCTTAGCTACTGTTATAAAAATGACTATTGTTCATACACTTATTATCATTGCCTCTGTTCATCGATGGACTATATCTTAGATGGACGTTAAAAATATCTTCTTGAATGGAAATCTTCTAGATGATGTTTATATGGCATCCTCTCATGGTGTTATCATAACCATGGAGACGTTTACAAACTTAAGAATGCACTTTATGGTCTCAAACATGCACTTCGTGCTTAACTTGAAAAGTTTTCTACTGTTACTACCTCTATTGATTTTTCTTCCAATCAACATGATTCTACTTTATTTGTTTAATACACATTAGTAGGTTGCGATATTCTATTTTCTTTTTATATGTTGATGACATGAATTGGCAATGATATTGATAGAATTCTTATCATAAAGTCAGAATTAGCTCATCAATTTAAAATGAAGGGCTTGAGCCCACTATGTTACTTCTTGTGTATAGAGGTGACTTATTCTCTTAAGGGTTATTTTCTTAGTCCAAGTCTGTAGTGGAGGTCACTGAACATTCTCATCTTATTGATACTCGAACTATTGATACTCCTTTCGAGACCAACTTTCATAGTCACCCTCTAATGATATACCTTTGACATACCGTATTTTATATTATATTATTGTTGGTTGTTTGATATATTTTACTATTACTCGTCCAGATATTGCTTACATTGTTTATATTGTTAGTTGGTTTGTTGCATCTCCTACTACATTTCATTAGGCTATGGTTGTTCGTATTTGCACCATCTTCGTAGCACTTTCTTTTAGAGACTTTATTTTCATCAACCTCATTTTTAGAGTTACGTGTATACTCAGATGCTGTTTGGGCTAGTGATCTAACTAGTCGTAAAATCACCACTGGTTTCTGTGAATTTTTTGGTGATTCTCTTATATCTTGGAAGAGTAGGAAACAAATTTTTGTTTCTTGATCTTCTACCTAATTTGAGTACTGAAATTGTTTAATTAGGATGGTTACTTGCAGATATGGGTAAATTCTTTCCAGTCCGACTCCTATATATTGTAATAATAAGCGTTATTCGGAAATCCCACAACTTCGTGTTCCATGAATGAACGAAGCGCATTGAAATTTATTGTCATCTCATTCTTCCTCCACCTTCAGTATGACACTATCACTCTACCTTCTGTTTCTTGATCTTATACCTAATTTGAGTATTGAAATTGTTTAATTACGTTGGTTACTTCCAGATATGGGTAATATTCTTCCCACTCAGACTCCTATATATTGTAATAATAAGTGTTATTCAGAAATCCTACTATTGGGTATACGACCAAAGTCCCACATTGGTTAAAAGTGGAGATGATCATGGGTTTATAATGATGGACAAATATCTCCATTGGTATGAGTCCTTTTGGGGTAAAGCCCAAAAGCAAATCCATGAGTACTTAGACCCAAAGTGGACAATATCATACCAATGTGGAGATATGTGGTGTCCATAGCCCAGCAAGTGGTATTAGAGTGAGGTTTGGTGTAAATCTAGGAAAAATCGACGGAGAAGATGAAGAAGCTCGCTATTTCTTCAAAAACCCGAACCTGTTTTCTTCGATTCTGGCCAAACTAGCTATCGGAGGATAGACCCATAACCAGCAGACTGAGGTGCACCCAGTGGTGGTGCGCGTGGGCTCGGGCAGCGGCGCGTGGGCTTCAGGCGACGGCTCGTGGGCGACGTGTGGAGGCAGTTTCCGGCCAGATTTTTTCAGGTATTTCATTTGTTTTAATTTCTGAATGTACTAATATTGCTATTTTACTATTTCAGGATTTGCAGAAAAGTTTTGGACGATTCTGCCCTTTTGTGAGTAAGACAGATTCGGGGCTACAACTACAAAAACATTAACTGAATTACTTTAGGCCATATATTGTGGCCTAAAGCAGTAAATTCGCATCTCGCGTAAATTTCGGACTCAGAAAGGTCTGCTCTGGTAAATTGGTTGATCCTTTTAAATTTCAACACTAGCGCGTCATCGTATGTGATGACAATATGATTGAGGTTACCGTGTGGGGTAACCATTGCTTGTGCTAGAAATTAGGAACTATTTGTTCTTTGCTGCCACGTTATTGAATTTTGCTTTTTTGATTAATTACAGCATATTATCATTCGTGATATATCGTGAGTGAAACTGTTTTGTTGATATCTTTCTGGTTGCATTGATAAGTTGTTAGAATACCTAGACCTTACAAATTTGAAAATTCCCTTGATCTAAGATCGGGAATCTTACGAAACCCTGGGAATCTAAAATGATGTATATTTGCGAACCTATGTCTGCTTTGTGTGACTTAATTCTGACTTTGTATTTCTTGTTTTGAAAATGACAACACGCAATTTTGATTTGCGAACTTTTAATGGAAAAGTAATTTTTCTATTTGGCAACAGAAAATGAGAGTTATTTTAGTTCAACAAAAAGTTTCAAAAGCCATTAATGAAATTTTTTTCGCTGATTTTTCAAAAGAACAAAAAGAAGAGGCTGATGAGTTTGCTTAAACCACTAAAGAACTTTGGAAA